AAACCATGTTCATCCTAATCCAAGAAAATAAAGAAAGAAGCAGAGAAATAAGAACAGGAAATAATACCATGTGCCTAGAACTCAGGCATTCACTCTTTTTAAGTGAGCCCAAATGCCATGAGGACATGGGGTAAAAACAAATAGCTTTTCATTGCAGGTTTGAGGCTAGGATAAAGTTGCCTAAGTGGTCACTCCTAATGGTGAGAGCCAGAGAAATCTGAAACAACCCAAAACCTTATAGTTCTTCAGCCTCTGAGGCATAGTTATGTTTAGAGGTATTTCTCAAAGGTTTGCTTTAGATGAATATTGGCTGAATATACAGGATTTGGAATCTCATCCTGGCACTTAGGATCTGAATCCCTGAGGAAGCCTAAAAATTGTCCTGATTCTTCAGGAATGTCTCAGAATATTCCAGACCAATAGGATTTAGTGATGAACATAAAAAAAACCCAAGTCATTTCATCCAGGGAGACTGTTATCCAATCTTAAATCATATGAGCAAAACTGATACCTGCCTGAGGACATTAAGTTGTACTAGTTATACATAAGTTTGAATTATCATGAACTGAGAAGTTTTTCAGAAAGTCATAAGAAACTATTCCATTTATCAGAATTCCCCAAAGAGCTGTTGAACACAACCCTTACACCTGCTGAATGCCAAGCATCTATCCATACAAGCTCTCAATTAACTGATTTCCTTATGGGCTATAAGGGACCGGGAGCTGAGTACAGCTCTGAAATGTCACCAAAACAAGTAGGTTTCCATTTTGATGGGTTAAAGAAGAAAAGTGGATTCCCGAACATTTAAAAGAAAAGTTACAGGGGCTCTGGGCGATTAAAGGAGAAGAAAGCAGGCTCCGAGGCCGGGGAGGCCCCCGGGGGGGGGGGCGATAACGAGGGGAGCACCCTTTGGCGGCGGCGGCGGGGACCCCAGAACGTCTCTCCCGTTCCTGTCCCCTCCAGAAGCCATTCCGATCGGTTTTCTGGGACCCAAACCGTAGGGTGGCGGCGCGCGG